CCCAGAAGGAGTTTTGGCTGGTTTATTTCTAAGCCTCTCCTGCTAAAGCTTTTCCATTTGGCAAGAAGGGATTTTTCCCATGACACATAAGGTCCTTAAGTGATTTATCTTTGCATTTGTAGTTATTTGCTAAAACAAGCCATTTTTTGTATCCTTTATCCATGTGGAAATGAACAAACAATCTGCTGGTCATAAACACCTTCCAAAAAAAAAAAGCCCATCACTTCTTAACAACTTAAGATGAGGAGTTGACTGGATGAGGATTTGTTCTTTCTTTTGTGTTGGTTTTCTTGTTGATTTTCTCTTCTGTGGATCGGAAGAAAAAAAAACTTACTTATCATTCTAAATGGCAATTGCATATGGTACATAAAATACATACAGAAAAAGACTTGTCTACAGCTGAAATCTTGCATTTGAAATTTAGTCAATGTGAAATTGTCCCTCTAAAGAAAAGAAATAAAATTTAAACTGATGGTAACTGAAACTATACTTTGGAATCAATTCATCTTAAAATATCTGTCTATTCAATTTGTTCTTGGTTAGGTTTTACTGAGAGCATTCGTTAAGTTACACCAAAGCCCTACAACCTAGTATGTATTTGAATGCATCCTAGTAACTAAGATATATTTTGATTTGTAAAACAACTGGTTTTGCTTTGCATGTGGTAAAGTGACTGTGAAGCTCATAGGAAACTGACTCATAACGGAAAGCTTTCTCCAGCTTGCCCTGTAGCATAGGCACAGCTGCCAAGGAGTTATCTGGGTTCATTTCCATAGTAATCAATCAATATAACTGTTTATTTTCTAAGGGCCTTGCACTTGAACTAAGAATCTTGTAAACTTACATATTACTCTTAACAGTTAAATGTTCTGATTATTTGATGGTTTTTTTCAGCACGAGGGGAATAACTTGCTGGTGCTTCACACAAAAATTATCTTAATTAAAATACATCAAATTTTTCTTTATATAATGGAATTAGAAGAACTGGGGGGGGGGGACAGGCAGTTGGTTGGGGGTTTTTTGGCAGATTGTGTACAAATGTTTGAAATATCCAGTTTTTTAAAAACAATGTGCCAGTGAAAAGAAACTATGATACTTTTTTGACGTTCGTATGAGGAGGAAGGGGTATTCCTGGTTTTACGTGATTTTATTTTTACAAGAATTAGAGCATCAGTAGCTATAACTGAGGCCTTTTTACTGTAACTTTTACTTTCTTGTTTGTAAGAGAAATTAAAAACCTGATCATCCTATTCAATGTGTATTAAATTATTTGCCTGAATAAGTCCTGACCTGTGCTATGAGTGGATTGAGTCTTCCAAAAGCCTAGTGGTTTTGTGCTATCTTCCTTACTTAAACAATGATATACATCTAGTAGCATCAGTATGTTGAAATAAATTCAAAATCCTTAAAGGCTTTAAGGACACTTAACATTTCTCAAGCAGATATGACTTACATTTATCTTGTATTTACAAGCAAAAGTACACTTAATGTTGACTAAATTGTCTTTTACTATAATGTTAGTGATGTCTGGAATACTATATAACTGTACAGTGTAAAGCTGCTTTGACTGTGGTTTACTGTAGAGGTAGAAAGGTGTTCTGAGAAGCAGAAACATAACCTGAACCATAATACTGAGTTGTACAAAGATTTTGGCATGTTATTTGGACCTTATGAGTTCACAGAAACATTTTCTGTAGGAAAAAGTATTATTACTTACTAAGTTACAGATGTAAAAACACTGTGAGAACTTATCAAAATGATGAATAGGAGAAGTGATTCTGTTATTGGTTGTCCTGGGTGATAAGGGAAGAGTGGTAAGGGCGATGAGAGCTGTCCTACTTTTATGATGAACAGATGCTATGAGAACGGATTTTCTGACTTTTATGGATGACAAGTGAATACTTCCAGTCTTGTAGCATTGTTTTATAGCCTTATAACGAACAGCAAAAAATCTACACTGCTTCTAGTTTCCAAAAGAACACTTGAGGCTGGAATTGTTTGGCAGATATTATTGGATGCATAGTAATATGCAAATGCAGCCCCCCTGTGAATTCATGGCCATAGCTGATATGCCTTGATCTGAAACTAGAGATAGAATGCAGGAAGAGGTTAAGTCAAAGGATTGTTAAGAATTCTTGCTTTTTGAAACTTAATAAAGGTTTGTATAATTGTATGCATTTTAGTTTGATTAGATATTTGTGGTAAGGTTTAACTTCAGTACTTCTTTAAAGTCCAGTAAAACAGACAGCTAGCTACAGCAACCACTTTGTTGGGGCAACAGCATTTTTAATTATCTTCTTAATTTAGACATTGTTTAATTATAGTGGTGTGTTAAAACTGAGATTTTTACTCTGTGCTGAAACTAGATATAAAATCTGATTCTGGGACTTTTTGTGCCTATGTGTTTGGGGGTGTTTTGGGAGGAATACTACCAGTGTGCCAAAATGTGATGGGTTTAGTGAAAGAAAATCTTGACCAACCACATCACGTAGGTAATCTGCATTCAAGCTCACCTTCCTGCTGTTGACCTTTCTGCTCAGTCTTTTTAGTCTAACAAGCTCCCAAATGTTCGGGTAACTACCAGCAGTGTTGAGGCCATGAGCAAGTCTATTGTCTTTCCATATCAATGGAGGCCTGTTGCTTCTGGTGCTCGCAAGAGGACATTAGTATCGCTTCCTAAGTTTCTAGCATTCTCAGTCTATCCTGATAGAACTGTGGACAGAAGGATCAGAGTTCTACAGTGAATTTAATGACGTAAGATAGTGACATAAATATCGCTTCTTTATCTGAAGCAAAGATTTGTAGCTAGACAGCTCATGAAAAAGGTTTTTCTCCTTTTTTCCTGCTTGTGGTAAAACTTGTTTTGATGTGGTGGTGTTTTTAAGACAGAAGAGGGCCTTTTATTTTTTGATTTTTAGGATAAGCTCAAAATGTTACTTAGGGAACAAAGAACTTAAAATCAATTCTGGAGATTTCATTTCTAAGTTATTTTGAGTAAGACTGGACCAGTGTCATCTGCAGAAAAACAGAGTGTTCTCAGGAGTTGCATTATCTTCAAGCACAGTGTATGAAACCTGCAAATATGCAGACCCCAGATACCCATGCACTTGGAAAACGGTGTTCTCCTTGATAATGGACGTTTAGGTAACTATTGTCTTTACCTGAGAGTTGAGCAACTATCACATAAGTGTTACAACAGTTATTCCTAGGCCTTCTAAGTGTAATAAATGTTAGCTGTTATCAAATATCCCTTTAAGGTTGTATTTTATTTGATGACTTCTTGCCTGAGCCTGTTTCCAGTAGAGGATATAACTATTTGACATTTGCTTTTTTTGAATTCTGGTGCTATTTTGGACTTAAGTAACTCATGTACTGGCAGTTGGGATTATTTTTTTTCAAAGCACAGGAAAGTTTACAATGTAAAACATAACAGATAAAAAGTAGATCATGGTCTACAGAGTTTGCTCCTTTTAGGTCCCATGCTTGACTATGACTCAGTGTTGTATCATCAGAATCCGTTAGTGTATTGTGGTCATTAAACTGACTCATTTTAGGCAGACTAGTTTATTCCTACCTTAGGAAGTCACGGTGGCAGTGAGTGCTGTAGCTGGCAGTCTCACCAGTACAGCAAATGGGAGCTTTTGTGTGAGCCTTGCGATTCATCGTTTCCTCATAGGTGTGATAAATTCTGACTCCGGCTTATGTGGAACCATAGAATTCTACGTCTGTTAAAGATGTCAAACAGGATCTTCAATAATAAGCTGCTGTAAGAAGTTAATGTAAAACATAGGACTTTATGTATTAGAAAACTGGAAGAAAAGGAAAGGGACAAATATTGCTTTAATATGTGAAGACTGTATTTGAACATTTAGAAGTGTAGAAGAAATTATCATAGTTTCTCGACAGTTCCAAGTTCTGAGTTTAGAAACGTGGGACTAGAAAAGAGCTTTTGATCATTGAGGCAGGTCCTTCAGAATCACAGTCCTTGTGTCCCCTGTTACTGACAAACTGGCCAACCTTGCCTTTAATTACAGTAAGATTTTTTTTTTTTGCTCCTACTTCTCTTATTTGAAGGGTCTTCTAGTAACTTGCTCTGTGGTAATATTCAGTTTTAAATGGGTATTTGATTATGCCTTGTTTTGGTTCTAATCACTTGTCATTTGACTTAAAGTTATTTGGTCTCTAAAGTGTTTGAATCACTAGTGTATTTTTATCATATGTAATTTTTTCTTATAAGATACAAGAGTTTTCTAGTTGAACTCCCTGTAACTGTTCATGTTGGAGTCTGTTCTTGCTTAATGAGAGTTACCCAAACAGAATAACGTGTTCTGTTTGAGCCTTATATAATGACATTAATATAGCTTAAAGCATCCTACATTTTGCCTTTTTCTCAGCTGCATCGTGCTGTCAGGTTGTAATCCTCGGATGATGAACAAATCCATTCAGATATTAGTCATCGTATTTTGCTCTCAAATGGCAAGCTCCCAGTGTGTAGCTGAAATTCTTGTTTGCCCCAAGTGCATTACTTTGTATCTGGTTATTGTACATTATCTCCTTTGTACTTTTCCAGGCCTCAAATTTATCTAGTTCTGCTTGTATGATGCTCCTGTTCTCTGTATTGAAAAACTACTTGTCAAAGACAGTATCTTGAGCACATTCCAAAACTCAGCAGCTTGGAAGACAGTACCTGGGAGCTAATGTTCAGGAAGACTTCACGCTCCTGAGGCTAACTGGAGAAATCGCAGTCTCATCCATTTGCAAAAACACACAGCTGCTGAATTTTTCTGTAGGTCTAATATTGCGTTCAAGGTTTGAAACAGTTATTAGTCTTGGTGCACACAGAGAAGGAAGGATGATTACTCAGGCCTTGGAACAGATTTTGCATGAAGTCACCACTCTACAAACAGTGGAACCAGTGTTTGTTCTTGAGCTGTCCTATTGCATGTTATGGTACTGAATGTATATGCAACTGATGCTAGGCATATGTTCTCTATTTGCAGGGAGGTAGTACAGGCAAACTGTGTCCGCTGGAAGAAAAAGTTCTTATTTATGTGTAAAATCAGTGCCAGTGCCACAACAGGAATTCTGGATACTTGCATTTGCAGGGTGTCTGTACGAAAGGTAAGTAGCTCTTTTTCCCTCCTCTCTTCTTTCCCTGCTCTTTCTTCATTTGTTTTGGTTTTATTTTAAATGTCTGATAATTACTTATTTAAAATGTCTGATAAACTTCATAAAGCAAATTTTAGCTGCAACCATGTGAGGTATTCTTCTAGTCAAAATTTCATAACAATCTTATTAATTACCTTAGTTTGACTAATTAATGTTTTTTTATGTTCTTATTGAAAAGGAATTGCTCATCAGTTTTTATAAAGTTAGCCCCTGATAGATACTTCTAGCAAGCAGCCGTAAACTTAGAAGCCTTGAACTATGCCAAGTACCAGAATTTTGTATGCAGCTCTTTGTACCTTTGGGGCTAGACTTTGCAAAAGCCAAATGCTGGTTGGCATCAGGCTCTCACCCTTCCTCCCCTCTGCAAGATGACAGTCTCATGCAGGCCTGCACCGAGGACATTATTAATACTAAGTTCTAAATGGCAACAGTACAGCCTAGCCTACTTTAAAATTAAGATTACCATTTGCTTTTCTAAAGAAACCAAAACAAAAAACCCCAGTCAGTATCTTTAATGGTATGTCTTTTCTTCTAGGAGTTAAAAGGAGGAAAGGCGTATGCAAAGGTAAATTGAGATGTATCTAATTTTGCCTACAAATTAGCTTTTCTTTCTGGTCATTTTACGCCCTTTTAAAGTAATTCCAGAATAGTACTCTAATACCCAGGATTTCATTATGTGCATTATGGGGATGTGGTGGTGTTGGAACTCTCAATCACTGTGTTTAATAAGTATATCATAATATTATACCACCAGAATGGTTTTTTTTCTTTTCATTTAGTATGTTGAAAGGGTTGATTAAAAGTAAACCCTTCTGCATGCGTTTATTTTCAAAAATAAAGAAAACTCTCTTGTTCTTTTTCTCTCTTGAAACTTTAATTTTTAACTGAAAATAGAGCTATGCAGAATTTGACACTTAAAGTTTATTTTCTGCTTTTTGCCTTGGGCCACTCCCTTTAATAGGCATCCTCTTTCTCATATTTGAGAGAAACTGCTGTTGAGTGGCACTCAATACTGTGCATGTAGCAAGTACCTGCATTTAGTTATATGCTTACTAATACCTGAATTTAGTTATATGCTTACTAACTTTGTAATTTTCTCTTAACAGCTGGGATTTGCAGATCTAAATCTAGCAGAGTTTGCTGGATCGGGAAATACCACTCGTCGCTGTTTACTGGAAGGTTATGATACCAAAAATACAAGACAGGATAACTCCATTCTCAAAGTAATTTGCTTCCTTTCTCATACTTAAACTAATAAAGCAGAGAACAAGTGGTATTATTAAGCACTTAATGAAATTTAAAACATATTTGCTGAACCTCTTTCTAGAAGGAAAACTATTTAAAGTAAAATACATTAGCCTTGTTTAGAGACAATCATTAAAATCCATGCAGTCAAAAATAGAATTTGTCCTACTCTTTGAAGTGGAGCTGGATAGCTGTAAAAGAAAAGCTTTCAAAAGGTATTCCTAGTCTAACAGGAATTGAAAAATGGAAAAGGGAAGCATGATGAAAAAGTTGATACATCAGTATAAATGTAGTATTTGTATCTTTAAGACTGGGCAACTTCCTGTGCAGCATTTCTAAGGGTGAATCTCTTAATTGGCTTATTTATAAGCCAGCTTTAACACCTCCATGACTCCTGGAACTTTCCCTTTTCTATTTGATAGTAATCAATGTAACAACTGGTGAGCACTGTTGGAAGAAACCCACCCTGCTGTTCTCTCTCATTAGTCTAGGGAGTTTTAAAAAATTGAATAAGCTGCATAAACCTGAAAATAATTACAGGATGTTACAAGTAAATTTTTTAAGAATTTCTTTTCCTACTAAGACACTAGGATTAACTTCTCATACTACTGAGTATACCATTTCAGCGTGCGCTTTCTGATTTCTTTAAGACAGTCATAGACTTTGTCCAGAAAACTTTTAATTGATGGCTTTGACCCAGTTAACAAGCCTTCTCAATGCGTGGTTGTCCTATGGCATTATTTACCTTTTGTGGCTTTACTTCAATGTTAGCACAACCCGTTCTCATATGCTAGCAGTTTGCTAAACACTCTCAGCAAAGAAAGAACATACTTCGGCACCCTCTGTTTTAAACAGTATTCTGTTTGTTCATTAATATTTTAGATTTCCTGTCTCTTTATTTTTCCCTTGAAACCATCTTAACTGTTAATGATTCTAAGATTCTTACTGATCTAGGTATCTTTTGCAGAATCTTGTATGCACAACTACGTTACTTTAAAAGCTGTTTTGTTTAAATGTGTACTAAGAAAAAAGATGTTTTTTGCATAAGTGTGTATATTTGCATATGTGATGATGCAATTTTATTTTACATAAATATAAGATCTGTGGCAAGTATAACTTAGTGACAGGACCGTGTATCATAGACCAATTCCACATTTTTTTTTCTTACTGTGTTTTGGTTTTTTTTCTTAATGTGTAGGTTTTGATCAATATGCAGCTAATGTCTGGAGACCCATGCTTTAAAACGTAAGTTTATAAAAAATTTGTGTGGGATGGTGTTTTGGTCATACATTTCATGTTCAGAATTAGCCCTCTAATTTGTGTTTATAAATCTCTCCAACATGGTTCTTCAACAAATTCTTCAACAGTATTTAACAAAAAAAAAAAAGCACAAAGAACTGAGATAGTAGCTGAATAATGCCTAACATGGTAAAAATACCAGTACAAGTGTCATAGTTCTCCTTGCTGTTTAATACTCGCAATATTTTCAAGCAAAGAATACTAGCCTGTACATCTTTAATTTAAAAATAAATAAATCAAATACTTCAGGGAAACTGTTCCTGCAGCAAGCTTATATAAAGATATGTGGTATGGAGTGATCTTACTAATACTTGTGTTTGGAAAATGTGCTGTTACACCTTTTATTCACAAGTCTCAGATGAATTTAAAAGATTTATTTAAAAAAAAAAAATCTAGAAGTGTGATATGACTTAGTACCAGAGAAAGCACTTACAGATTTTTAGTTGGCAAAGATATTATGCAACTTAATAAAAGATGCAAGAGGTAACATCTGAAGGAGGAGGTAGCTAGGAAAATCACTCCTATGTATTCAAGATCCTTTGTCCTTAATCTATAGTTAAGGAAATACAATAGCTTTGCCAGAGTATGTTAGCTTCCATAACTAACCACAGGACAGAAAAATCACACATACTAGGGAAAAACCAAGTCATGAGTAAGATGAAAATATTGCCTACTTTCTACGACTAATAAGCCGTTTTGTTATGAGGCACCCAAGCTTAGTGGATAACTAAAGTGAAACAGTGCAACTGGCAAGCTTCCTATTTCCAGAGAACACCACTATCTTTCTAATCATGACTTAATTATCCTGATTAGTAGGAAGTAAAGAACTCTCACATGTCCTTTGTATTATAAGAGATATTTTATAATAACCTAAATGCCATTCATTTTAAGGATAGGCTTAGAGATATGTAGAGAATCTGCTTCCATGAGAGCAGGGTGGAAAATTTCTCAATGCTTGCCAAGATTCTTTGCCACTGCTTTTCTGTAATTCAGAATGTTGGTACACTGGGCTGTTCAAAGCATATGTGCTTTTCCGTTTAATGCCAATCTTTTCTTATTCTACGTGACAGTAGATGGCAATTGTGTCTAGATCAGGTTTAAACCAACTTAGTTGTATTTTACTTGTCACACAAAGTTTGAGGGAGGGGTTGTGAAATAATTCCTTCAAAATAAATTTGATCCTTTAAGTTCTAGTTTAACTCAAATTTTTCTTCAGCTCACGTCATTGACCATGTTGTTATACTGAAACTAGCAAGAGATGGAATCAAAATGAGAGGACGTGTTCTCTTCCCACAACGTGATTAAACTGTGGAACTCCTTGCTACTACAGATTGTGAATACTAAAAGCTCAAGAAAGAATTAAGACAAATTTGTGAATGAAAAATTATTGAGGGCTATTAAGTCTAAAACATCATATGATGCTCAAGAAAACTTACAGATGAGGAGATGCTGGAAGAATATTCAGCAGATATATTACTATGTGTGCCATATTCTCTCAGCATCTGTGGCTTGCTGCTGACAGAAGCAGGATGCAAGGCTAGACAGATCTTTGGTCTGAGACAGTGGGCCTGTTCTCATGTTAGCTCATTCAATGACAATCTAAGGCAGAGTTCCAAGTATTACATGTAACTGGAAAAGAAAAAAATGAGCTTAAGGAAAACAATCTGAAAAAAATTGCTAGCTTCACCCTTATGTCAATCTCAACTTTTTGTGTAGGTTCTCGACTTTCATTTATCCTTTCAGACCTTATGTTGAATCAAAGAGATCTTCTGTTGTAAAGATACAGTGCTTGCTTAAACTGCTACACTAAATCACTTTTACTTCTGTATGGATTAGGTTCTTTATTCAAAATACTCTCATAAACTCAATTTAACCTCATTTTTATCAGATTAATGTTGGCAATCAATGTCCCTCTGAATAATCCAATGAAGAGGGAGAATAATCTCATACATCTCATATAGCAGTAAACATATACTGAAGTCTTCCTTACGTAAAACAGATTGTGTTTAAAGTAAAATGAAGCTGCAGCTCCAAGAAGAGCAGCACTGATCTCCTAACTCAGTCTGAGGTACAAGTATGAAGTACCTCATGATTTGTAGGTTTTAGCTGGTTCAAGGTGTGTTCTGGTGTAATTAGCACAATCAAGAACTGTTTTCTGTAGCAACTAGAGACTTTGTGCGTTACTGCTGTAGCTGTAGCCTTACCATTGTTTCTGAGGAGATCTGAGAATGTTGCCTGCACCAGTCTAGCTTAGATGATTCACCAGAGGAACTCTTCAGTGTCCCCTTGCACCACTAAAGGCCTTTCTCCTCTCTTCTTCTAACCTTCAAGAAGAAGAATAGAACACTGTAAAATCTCCTCTTATGCTTACTGAAGAAATAGTAAGAGGGTTTAACTGAATTTGATTGGGCAAAGCTTTTCTGTATCCCTAGTTATTTAGCACCTCCTGATTTACTTTGTCAGACCTGTTAACAAATACATCACTGGTACTGATAAACAGTTTATCAAAGGCAACTAACTAATCATTAATCATGTGTACTAATAAAACAATGTATTTCTGTTTTTTACTGGCTGTACTGAAGTAGTTGAAATTAGTACCTAAATAGTTTTCTGGCTGCCTAGGAAAAAATCTCTAACTGAATCTCTAAATTATTCACACTTAGCATTTTCTTCCAAACTGACGGTATCACCATTTTCTGGAACATAAACTTTCAATACAAACAGAACAAAAAATTTATCTAATACAGATGTCCTTCGCAGAAGGAAAAATAAACCTTAAAACGTTTTCACAATCTGGAATCAGCTATGTATTTTATGAAGAAGCCTTTATTAAAAGCTTTTTTAATATTGAAGCAAATTTAAATTATGTCATACTTGATGCTTTTTTTATTTTGCGGGAGGTAGAATTCAGAGGGGAATACATGGAGATGGTAACATAGGCCCCTTTGTTAGGAGTGGGAGGGTTATCAGCCCCAAATCTCCTCATGTACTGCAACAGAGATGAAACAAAGCCATGAGTGCATCACACTGCACAAGCCAAGTAGGCCAACTGTTGTTGTGCAGGCTTTTTGGTTTGTTTGTTGTTTTTTTTTTTTTAACTTAGCATCTGGTCATGTATTCCGTGAAGTACTGAATTATATATATTCGTAGCACATAAATTATCCTGTGATTCATACACTTAAAAAATAATTAAGAACTTCAAAATAAATGCATATCACTCCATCAATCATCAGAAAAGAAAAAGCCTTTCCAAGGATCCCCAGAAGCCTGCAGGACTGAGGGCTGAGCAGATGGATTCTGTAAAATGTCCTTAAATTCAATAGCAAAAACTTTTCCTTTTTTTTTTTTTTTTTTTAACAGTGGGCTAGGCAGCATATTTTCAGGAAAAAAAAAAATTATAAGCCTAGTAACCTGAAGCACAGTACGAATTATGCCAACTTACTTGAAAAGAAAAATCTGTGCTGATCAATTTGGAGGGATTACAGTAAAAGTACAGCAAATCTTAACCACCTTTTCCTTACAGGCCTCCTTCCACAGCAACGTCTATAGCAATTGCTGGAGAATCAGAATCTTTGCATGAAGACAGGAAAGGTGGAGAAAACTTAAAAGTAGTACATCTGGGCATAGCAGGTATAAAGTAATGTTCTTAATTTCTCAATTCTTTTATAACTGGCTTCATAACTTCAAGGACATGTATGAAATACTTCAAATCTTAAAGGGATGCTGACAGTTAGCCCACAGAGGGACCTTCTTTGGTTATTTGTTGATACAAACTCCTAGATAACATTAGTGGAGTCTCTCTTTTCTACTTTTGTAACAGTTTATTTAAAGTAAGAACAGAAATTGAATTGATAGCCTGCCTTCTTTTTAACATTTTTCTATGAGACACGTTCCTTGATTTGCTTTGGATTTGTATTTTGACTGAGCATTTAATTTGGCCCTCGATTTTCAAGTTATGAAACATAGGGATATGCATAACTGAGTAAATTTTGAGTGGTAAAAGTTCTAAGTATTGTTTAAAATTGAAGTAGTTATTCTACTATTAAAACACTTTATTACAGGTTGAAATTTGGGAGTGGGGTGGGGTTTTTGGTGTTTTTTGTTTTTACAGTCTTCAGGCTCTTACATAGCTTATTAGTTTCCACCCTAAACACAGCCTAAGTTGTCTTAACCGTAGTTACTTTTTTCAGCCAGAAAACATCTAGCGCGCCATTCTACTATGGAAACCAAATCTAGAACTACATTTCATATAAATCTTTCTAATCCAATGGTACTCTTTATTTTACTCAGAAATGTATTATGATTTTTTTCTTTAAGGAATGCACATTTGTTAACGTACATGGTATTTTTGTAGCACTTGCATCTTCAAAGGGTTTGTACAAAAACAGTGTCAAGTCCCTTATTCCTCCAGGAAATCTGACATTTGAGTCTAATCAAGGTTATAGGCAAAGTAGTAACAAAGATGGCTTTAGCAACAGTATCTGACTTGCACATGTTGCAGATGTCTCATTCAAGAGTGCCTCAGTCCCAGATGAACTTGGTGCATGTGGACATTCCAGAACATCAAGCTATGCGAGTCAGCAGTCAAAACTGTCAGGTAGCTGTTAACAACTTTGTTATGAATTGTTGGGGTTTATTTACTTTCACAGTTTTAGACTGTAGAAAATAGAGTACACTTTATGTGCTTTAAAAAATGGTTTGAAGTTGAAAGCTTTTTCCTAGGAGTTTCAGGAGTGGGGAGGGTAACATTATTTTTTTCCTCTTAAAAGCACAATGAATTATCTGTTCGGATGTGAGACAGCTTTTTCCCTTAGCTGCCTCCAATGAACATATCTGAATGAGATTTTTACTTCTTCCATTTGTAAAAACAAATAACTTACAAATGCAGACTTAGCTCTAAAAGTTGAAGGGCAAGTAATAACACCAAGTCATTATATTTGTTAGGAAGCAAGAGTTATTTAGAACAAAGAGAAAACAGCATGTGCTAGAATACAAAACCCAAAGTGATTTGCCTAGTTGGTGTATGCACATACATTCATAAGGCTTTTGAAGTCTCTTTATAAGAAGACAAAACACAAATTCTGCTTTCAGGATAGTAAAACATAAGTCATGACCTTAGCTGACAAGAACATACCTACCCTAGCTCTCCTGCACTTTCCCAACAGGATATAGCACATGTCACTCTAGATCATCCAGTCTGTCTGAACTCTGCCACAGGAGAAACACCTCAGTGAGTAGTACATCAACAGGAATTGGAAGTATTCTAGAGCCATGTGAAGGGAGTGAGCCAAAAGTAACTGAAGCTAATATTGATACATCTGTTAAAGATGCACCATCAGAAAGACTCTGCAGGTATGCTTGAAAGCCTCATCTAGCAAAAGTAAAACATAATTTACTCTATCACTTCTAAGAGCTCTAAATACATTTATTTTTGCAGACATCCTGTAAAGCAAGACTCTGTGGAATCACAGCTGAAGAGAGTTGATGCTACCAGAGTTGATGCTGATGACATAGTTGAAAAAATACTCCAGAGTCAAGATTTCAGTTTAGACTCAAGTGCAGAAGGTAAGGAGATAAATAAGGAAGCTTAAGGAAAATTGATGCACATTACAGGCTTTAGGAATATCCACTATCTTCACAGTCCCTGTTGTTTGTAATCATAAGGACGTTTTCTACTTCATCCGGTCTCCCAGAAGTTGAAAAGACCCTTGCATGACTCCGGTAACTTTGCCAGAGAATTACTTTAAGACTGAAAAGAGCAGAGGCAAATCTACAAGGAAAGTAGTTCCTCCAATGTGTACCATATGAAGTTTGGTTCTTCATTACTTAAAACATTTCCATGTGAAAGTATCAGTTACAAAACTGGTAGATTTAAAATGACTTAGTTTTAGCTAGGGCGACATTAAAAGAAGCTAACATATGTTAATTCCCTTGCTTTTTAGAAGAAGGTTTAAGATTATTTGTGGGCCCTGGTGGAAGCACTTCTTTTGGAAGCCATCATCTACCTAACAGGTAGGTAGTCTGAACAACTAATAGGTAATACTAAAAAAAAAAAAAAAAAAAAAGCATCTTATACAGCAATTATTCTGTATATACATTTTCGATCTCTGTATCTTTCTATTCTATATCATTTAAAGGCACCAAAAGAAATAGATTATCAGGTTTCAAAGCAAAACACATAGGTTAGTTCCAAAATAGAACTGATTGTCAGCCATAAGAATTATAACTTTCCAAGGTTCTGAAGAGTCTTAGTTCCAAAGTTTTCAGATATGTGCAATGTTTCAGTATGGAAACAGGCACCAGTTTGAAATCTTAGCTCTATAGTCTTACTACATTGGTACTGGAAGAAAAGTCTTAAGTGCTGTACACATCCACCTTTACAGTATCAAACTTTTATGTCTTCCTGATAACAAGCTTAATTTTCTTCAGTTTTGCTCGCAACTCTTTCTGTTTCCGTATGCTACACTATTCCTGTTTCAATGGCTTGTTCATCTTTTAACTATTTGTAGCCCTATACTCTCTCCTTTGATAATCTGCTTCAGATTATCTTCTGGTAGTTTTTTTAGAACCATAGAAATTTTTTTCTTCTCTAAACCCTCTTCAAATACTGATGTATGACTTGACCTGAATGAATTAGAGCCTTCTCAGATGATAAAACATTAAAACCAGGTATAAATATGCTCTAATACCATGATTCTGCACTCCGGTGTAACTCTTTAAGATGTTCTTTATCTCAGGAAATTAGAGTAGCATCAGTATTTCAGCAAGTACTTCTGGAATTAGCTATAAAGACAGCTGATAATGTGCTGAAAGTTAGAGAACAAATGTATTTTACACAAGCAAGCAATACCGATGGTTAAAAGATAATTCATTGGCTTATTTGCAAACTGGGCACGCTTAATTTCTATCTAGGATAATGTGTATGGTTACAGAGCACACTACAGTAGTATATAGAGATCTGTCTTAATTCAGTTGCCAGAACAGTACAGGCAGAATATTATATGAAGGCAGACCTTGCCCTATTAATTTTTGACACAGTACTGCCATTTGCCATGTAAAACAATCCACTATGCTCTGTCATGTGGAAGGTGGACAGTTTTGTAACTGTGCATTTGCAATTCAGTGTGAACAAAAGACTGGAAGACATTTTTCTTGTATCTTAACATAAGATGACTATCAATTACTGGTTGTTTTTCTTTTTGACATATTTGTCTATTTATGTATAAATGTATATAAAAAGTATTAGCTGCATATGATATAGCTGGGATGGGAGAGGTACCCAAAAGATAATGTTTAAGGAACTATAGAGACAGTAACTCTATACAGTAACTTCTTTTTCAGTAACATTATTTATCATTTTTCATTCTGAGTGTAGTATAACATAAAGTGCTTTAATGCCTTAAACTGTAGGTGACTCAGTGGCATGGTAATTACATGTTTTCTACCCTTCACGTTTAGGTTTTCTGTTTGGTTGGAGTTTTTTTTGTTGAGTGAGGGGGTTGTTTGGGTTTTTTGTAAACAGTAAACTTGCTGATCTGTGATGCTTGATGTTTAGCTTCCATTTAAATTGGAGTTGAACTAACTTCTTTCAAACATTCTTTTAGCGTAGGATCTGGAGCATATGAGCAGGTGGTGATAAAACGCTAGACTAGAATGACAAACGAGGATAACTTGGAGCTCTGGCACTGATACTTCAGCTTTTCTTTGCTCTGTTGCAAGAGTTGTGAAAGCCAAAATGAACTCAATGTGATCTTTTTTTGAAAAGTAATGGAATGCCTCTTGCTAATAGAGCTTCATCTTCTGTGGTATGAAGGCAACGTTTAACTGTATACCTTGTGCGAGCACTTGGACTGTTTTTGTAAGCTCTACCTGATGTTAGTGGAATTACTTGCTTTTTAAGTTGTATGAAACATTTTTGGAAGCATGATTGAGTCCCGTTTCATTTTTCTACACAGATCACTTGTGAAGATGTACTTTGTAACTTCTTTTCTAAAGAAGCTTCTAAATGTTGTTCTTAAATGAACCTAAAGAAATTACTCAATTTGATCCTACCTGCCATTTTAGTTTTACAGAAGCTAATTACTTCTACAAGTAATTAATATGAAGTCAAAATTAAGGCCTCCACCAAACAGCCCAGCTATGTTTTACCATAACCAAAAACTTTTCTTAAGAGTACTGAGCATAACTTCATTGTAAGCTTGAACAGTAGAGGTGAACTTCACGTGCATTTAAAAAAAACCAAACAACTAAACAGATCTAAACTGTAATCAGTTGTGTTAACTGTAAATGAAGACTAGAGGCTTAAATGTATCAAACGTGATATCTATTTTCATGCAAGTGACAAAAGAAGTGGGATTCCACATCAAAATACTAAGGCACAGTAAGGTATTATCAAGAAAGCTTGATTGTTAAATCTGGAGTTCAAAAGCTGCTTTCACAGCAACTCACTTCAATCATGCATGAACCTTAAGATTCAAAGGGATGGTACTGTTTACAAACCTAGTCAGTAGTTTACTACCACTTAGAACTTTTTATTGTAGCTTAATCCTTCACAGTTAGTGCTTTGCTTGTGTTTTGAATGTGCCTTGCAGGGACTGGGGATGTCCAGGGAGATAAAACTATTTACTGAGCAAATTAAGCTTTAAAACTAGGTAAACATCTGTACTATTATAACTTATTAAGAGAAGCACTTTATTGTAGATGTACTCTGCACTCTGAAGAAGTCTTAGTGTGCAACAGACTTGTTGAACGCTTCTTCCTTCACTATCTGTTCACTGTTATGTTAAGGTCAATGAATTCTATTTAAATTTGCACAAATAGTGATTTGCCTGACAGGCAATAAAGATGAAAGATCTCTTAAAATTTTCATTGAGAATTATGAAAGAGTCCATTTTTAAAGACATGTGTTAGGTGACACAGTTCTAATTCAGGCTTGGCTCTGCTGTATTTAATTTTAAACTGCAAATGACCTTAATTTTGTTAGGATTAGTTGTAGTGTTTATCAGTAAGGCTTGGATTAAATAAAAATACAAATAGTGTGGTCATTTCTGAAAGCACTGAATGTATTAAATTCTGTTCAGAGTGATGTTTGACACCCTTTTATTGAAGTAGACCATATCTAATAGGTTAAATTAGGAATTAAATTGTTTTCCATATTTTTCCATAAATCCACAGTAGAATTATTAAACTGATTTTATTTGGTTTTTTTTAAGGAAATTTAAGATTTTAAAGTTTGAATACTGTTAATAAATATGAGCTATTTCTAAGTTATGGTACCTAAATACTTTTATTTTCTACTGTTGTTTATAATCTCTTTAAAGTGTTTTAATGGGTTAAAGAACTAATAAAACAATATATTTTAGCTGCTGTTAATAAAAGTGTGGTATTATCCATTTCTGTCCTTCACAGGAATTTTAAACAGAAACGACATAACTGCTAGTATACAATGATCTCTAAGAGCCATGATAGTTTCCTTTCCTGTTATATAACTAATTTGTACCAAAAAAAAAAAATATTCCTGCAAGCCAAAAGATGCATGAAATTTGAATAAATTAAGTTGCTGTCAGTACTCTAACACTGCTACATCTGTTGACAGATCTATTAAACCCAGTAGTAGTTAGATGGTAGCTTAAGTTTACTAGGAAAAATAGGTATAGTTTGAAGAAAATAGACTTTTAAAAAATATTGTACAGCTACTTAAGTAATTCTTAAGGGAACTTCCATAGCCCAGAGTTGTATTCTATGTTAAAAACCACAGCTAACTGCTGTAGATTAGATATTTTGTTTATTAGAAACCAATTATTTTCTTGCCTGAGCAGATCTTTTAAATAGGAAGGAAGTTTACATGGAAATCAAGCTTTTAATAAAACTGTATCTTAGTAATTTATTGTTCTGACTTGGAGTTACAACTCTTTATGAAGTGATTCTCTAATCGTGCATATTTTCAGTGGAACATAACCTTCATATTTAGAAGTAGAATTTTCTTTTTTGTAAACTGTGTTATAAGAATACTGGAGATTCTCATATAGTAAACTGTTTGGGATGTTGGTGGTTTGTGTTTTGTTCGTTTTTTTTAAAAACTGTATTTAAATGCAAATCTCTCAGACATTCAATAAACTCATGTCTTGAGCTTGGAATCTGTTTCTAAACAACTCTGTCTTTTTTAACACAAAAAGACAAACAACTGAAAGTTTGTGTCCATTTCAGTTTCTCTACTGCTTTTCAAACTTTACTTTTGCAGCTTATTAAACTTCACCCCCAGTCCACAAAATACTTAATGGCACTGTTACTAGTACATAGTTAGTTATCTGTCTGCTGGAGAGCACAAGTAATATGTCAGTCTTTCACAACTGAAAATCAATTTTGAAGTTTGAGATACATTGGTAGGTTAATTATTAAACAGACTCCACAACTACCAGTATTTGGGGAAAGTGAGGACACCTCCTCACCTTGCAAATGACAAAATTAATCCTCCCCAGTAAAGGCTTACTACTACTAAAGCTTTTCATACAGTTTGTGTAACTTTTTAAATTACCACCTTATTTTTTTAACAAAACTACTTGTGGTATGTATTTCTTTTCTCATAAGGCATTCAGAATAACAAAGCTGTTTGGTACTGCAGTAAGCATCTGTTCTTACATTAAAAAAATCTAGATTGGTAAAAATTGCAGCTAATTATAGTACAAACTATTTGGCATTCAGATCAGTAATCAATTGTATAGCAAGGATTAAGTAACTGGTCTGTGTATAATCCACTCCAGTCTCAGCTGTCTTCCATTTTAAAAAGGAAGACATTTTTTCTGAAATTTCAGCAGAATATCCTAGAATTTCTTTTGTGGGGGGTTGTGTCTCTTCTGGTTTTATGAATCAACAGTTTCCATATAGAATAAAAGGGAAACCTCATCAGCAAACCAATCCTCCAGGTAATGGCCTCACAGTAGAGAGTTCTCTCAGAGATATGAAGACGTATACATGTATATACATAAAACATTCATAGATGCTAGTCACCTTACCAGCAGCTGCAAATATAATCACTAGGGCATTTTTCTTTTTACATGTTTTGCTTTTACTACTTCTGTGTTTTCACACTGGTTTAGTGACATATGTTGTAAGGAAATGTGTCATTTAGATCTAGTGCTTTTTTAATCTGGACAGAAAAAACATCTCATGAATGAAAATAAGGCTTGTGGATGAAAGTAAGGCTATGCAACCCAGTTGCATACACATACAGAATATATCAAGGCAAAACTATTATTGTGGTATGGGAAAATATTTTCCTTCACTACTACTGAAAAAAAAAAATATTAAGTACCAGAACTTAGAATGCTGTCATTGAAAGCTAAGGTGCATTTTGTGGACCTTCTGACATGGGGAAGACAACAACATAGAGACAAAGATTAGCATTGGAAAAAAATTACTTTTTGTAACTCTTGAGGCAAAATAAATAGTTCTGCCTTTTCCCCACCCAACAGCTCATTCTTGCCTGCTCTCCTCTTCCCACCTGTTGCACCACTACAAGTTGCTGTGACAAATTAGTTGATTGGGTTCCCTCTATGGCCACACACCAGGCTCTGACAACAAAGAGAAAGGCAAACACATCTTAATGTATTTGTTAACACTTCTGTGGGACAGCTATTTTCATTTTGTTGCTTCCTTGTTAAAAACTAGAAATTAAGTAACTTCTTTTTTATGTGAAGGGAAAGCTCTAAGCACAAGGTAGCAAAGCTTTGCCTAAGTTCAGAGTTGTATGCACTGCCCTTCCAATCACAACTAAAATTGTTCATATACTTGTAAAGGCAGCACTAGTTTGGTTTGGATTTTTTTGTTGTGTTTGCTTGTTTTGGTTTTTTGTTGTTCATTTAAATTACCTTATCTACTAATGTTTCCTCAGTATCCTCATTTGAGTGTGAGCTAGTGTCAGTGCATTTTATTTTGGGGATGTTCTCAGTGAACTGCTTGCTTACAGGACCAGATTAAAATGTGTTTGCTTTGTGAATGAGGAAGAAAGTGCAAAGGACTTTTGCGTAAGAATTTTTCTGTCATTTCAGAAGCCCCTTCCTCTGTTTCTTCTACTCAGTTTAAATAGAAAAAATCCCAACAACTAACCATTATGAGTTACACATAACCCAGCTGTAACCAAATGATCCAAACCTCATTTATCAACATAACAAGAAGCATGCAATAGAGCTTAATACCATGGAAACAGATGGGAGACAGGACAAACACATCAGAAGTTTATTAGCTGTTAGATCTATTTCAGAAATCTCTGGGGAGGCAGATAATTAACTCTTCCAGCTCTTACAATTAGACAGTTGGGTTTTATTTATCTCAATAAGTAGAATTTATTTATACCACTTCTTTACTTAGTTATTATTCATTTAAAGCACTGATCAGAAACATTCTGTTCAGCTATTCTGACCACAATCAATCCCCACTAACTTGCTCAATAGCTATCAAGTTATTTCCCTTTTATTCAGGATACTGCACTGGTTTTGTGGGGGTTTTTTGTGGTTGTTGTTTGGGGTTTTGGGTTTTTTTTAATCTACTTTATTTGGATTTTTACAGTTTTGAACGAGCTAAGGTTGATCTGTTTTGTGTGCCATCTCCTGGTCAGTGATATTGCCACATGCAGCCTAAAACATTTCATCTTCATAAACTTCCTTTCAGCATCCTGATTTTGAGACATCAGAATTGACCTTGGTCAAACTGCAAGTTTAAATGGGACACAATAAATATTGTGTTTGTGAATAAACACAAATAATAGTTTAATCAAAAGACCAACCTGATAACGAAGAGCTGTGCACAGTGAATCCTGTGAGAGGGTTTAACTGCTCCTGAAAAGACAGTTAATTCAGTACTTTAGAGAAAATCTTGATTAAAATTTATTTAAGCTAGTGGAAACCTGGCACAAAAATAGCATAGCTTGTTTTAGTAAAAGCTACCAGTCTCAAACTATATATTCTAAATAGCACTTCTGTACTTGGTATGTAATAGCTTCTTCAGTTTCAGTACACATACGTATACTAAGGAACACTGTGAACAAATAGGGCCAAACATCTGTAGTTTGACTTCGATTTTCCCCAGGAGAGACATAAGCAAGAATCTAAGAATTAGTATTTGCCCTAGCTATTATTAAAAACCTATACACTGTTACAAAGAAGGAGGAGACGATGCATGAAACCCTTAAAAGTTGGATTACTGTTCAGGCCCATTCACATCAGTCCACCAAATATTCACATAAGCCATTTTCCAAATATAGCTACAAAGCCTTAAGGGTATGATGTTTGAAAGCAAAACAAGCATGTGTTTGTATACAGTCTTGCCTGTTCACAAGACATTAATGTAATTAGATGTTACCTGAATACAAAATTCAAGGCAAGTATCATTCTGAATTTGACAGGTCCTTCTTCCCTTTTCCTTATTTTAAAGTCATCATGCTATAAAGTACACTAAAGATACAATGTTTCAAAAAGAAATGACACAAGAAGCAGTTCTATGGTTCAAAAATCTTCATAGTAAACCATATAGTAATCCAATATATTTCCATATATTGCAAAACTGGATATTTTCCAATAAAAAACCCAATGCTGCTCTCAAACAGCTATGCTTATTATTGTCCAAAGAATATTTACCAATTTTGGATTTTACATATATTTTAACATGCCAACTATGGCAAGTTCATATCACTATGTCAAAAAAAGTGAAACCATTCTAAATATCCTATTAAAGATGAATTTTAATTAACTCCTAAAATTAGTTCTAAATATTGTGTTAAATTAATTTTTTAATAATCTATGTCTATTTGATGTAGGAGAAAGTCTCCCACAAAAGACAAAGCTTATTAAGTACGCATTTTTTATTCATTTAGTATGACAGAGCACTGCAGATCATTCTTCCTTCCCTGAAACTTAACCTGTTCTAGATTCTGTACCGTTTCTCAATTCGGAGAATTACAGCTGCCTTTTTCCTTTATGTCTGATCTTTCACCTTAATCATTTCAAGTTAATTCCAAAAATTGAGAAGGCAGAATACAGTCATTTTCTTTAAGAAAGTCAGCCCTTACATAGAATTTTTTATTTTCAGAAAATTGTGAAATGTTCATGTTTCACAAACATGAAGTCCATTCTGATAACACTAACTCATTCAAAGCTACCAATGACATTGTGAAACATACACAGAATGAGGCCTCTTAATTAACCATCTCTTTACTCATGAGAAGTACTCAGCTGAGATATCAAAATTACTGGTTAAAAAATTTCAGGTATGTGAAGAAACTTAAAAAGAATTGCAGTGTGTTCCTTCATTAATCCTGCATGAACAAGCCTATCCTATGCATGCTTCAAAATTCTGTTTTCATAAGTCCATGGTCTAACATTTGCTTATGGTGCATTTACACATACAATTCAGCTCTACTTAAGAAAAAGTCATCTTGGCCAAGACAGTAAGCTCTACTATATGTAACACCTCTGCCTTTCATTTCTGCTGAATGTGTTGTTAAGACTTTGTGGACAACAGCTGCACGTGAAAACACAGAATTATTTTTTTTCCCAGGTACACTGTGGCCAGGTTAGCATTCATAATGACAGATATTCTGC